TACACATCTAGATGTGTATAAGACCCCCCCCCTCCCCCCTCCCCCCTCCAAGTTTGGTGGTTTCCTGCTTGCTTCTTGTCAGGTGCCCTCTCTGACATATATGCTGTGAGGTAGTTCACCCCTCTCTGACAAGGACATCCAGCCATGTTGACTGGGGTGGACAGAGGTCCCAGGCAAGGCGAACTGTGTGGAAATCTGCTGAAGTCAGAAATCATCCCACGGAAAAGTCTTTTCTCAGTTCAGATCTAGCAGGGTTGTTTTGTGCATGTCCAAGGGAGGCCAACTGAGAGCCTGTCTTCAAAAAAGCTGTCTTTGAAGTTTGAACTCGAATGGCGGTATGAAGGTGTAAAAAGAGGTGGATGGAGTGTGGAAAGAGGGTGCATGGCTTTCTATTTTTCACAAGAAGGAACTGACAAGAGAACCTTGACCTTATTATGATTATTGGATCTCGAATTATAAGTTTGAAATTTGAACTCTTGTTATTTATAATAAAATATATAAATGAGATGCAGACTGTTCATTGGGATAAACAACTACGTACTACAGAGGTGCATTCAAAATAACACCTTCTTGGTGGTGCAGAATGCATTCCATGAACATCTGCTTGGTACAACTTGGATGGATAACTACAGACTCAAGCACAGAGTGCATTCCGATAACATCTGCTTGGTACACTGGATTACTACAGAGTTCATTTCAAGAACATCTGCTTGGTACAGAGTGCATTCCAAGTGGATTACTGCTTCTCTCGCAAAGTGCATTTTCAACTGGTCAAACCTCAGTATTCCTCCCCCCACCCCCGTCGCTCGCTAATAAAAAAAAAGTTAAAAATGTTTACCTGCCCAATCCTTCACAACAAACTGGACACGGGCGACCTCAATGACATATCATGTCAACATTTTGGGGTCCTGAGATGCTGGTGAACCTGGCTGTGTTCTTCAGGCCATTGTAACCTCTTTGAATGTGACTGAAGGGTTTCGTTGATGTTGTGATGTTGAGATCTGTATGAAAAACTCCATCCACAGTTGTAATTTTGGACTCCTTAATTGATTTGGTCAGATGGGTTTATGCCCACTTTATGGAACTTAATGCGCATCGGTGTGGGCTGTTATGTGTGCCATGCGGCGAACAGGACTGTCGTTGTAGCAAACAACGTCATGCAGTTCAACAAAAGTGTGAATGCTCCTAGCTTCACACAAGAAGATCTCGTGAACATCCGGAAAATCGCCGAGCGGCAAGACTTATTCGATCTGCTTGCAGAGTCCGTTGCGCCATCCATTTATGGACACTTGTTTATCAAGAAGGCGATTTTGTTGCAGCTGCTGGGTGGAGTAGAGAAAAACTTGAAGAATGGGACCCACATACGAGGGTCTGATTTTCTCCCCCCCTCCCCCCCTTTCGTATGTTGGTTGCTTCAGTCTCTGGTAATTTCCCCGGTGGCAAGTGCCTAATGTCTGGCTGGGTCCTGTAGATGCCTGGTGGAGGAATGGTACAAATGGAACTGTTGATCGGGAAAGAAATTGAGAGTTCGAGTCTGTCGGATACAAGAAGGTCAGGGGATAATTCCGCCCAACCCCTTTCGTTATTGTTTTTTTAAGCCATCGGTAGATTCAGTACCTTTGTCCCAACAATGTCATTCTGGAAGGACCGTTAATACGCTGTGTCCTTCGGTGCAGGGCCTACGGGACTGCAATGGCTGGCCTGACGCCAGCCAAAAAAAAAAGAGAAAGCGCACTTGCGCCCTTTTTTTATATTTTTATTGGTGGTATGCAGCACTAGTCCGCGCTGGGAAAGAGTGGCTTGGGGGTGCTGGTGGTTCACGGGAGGATTAAAAAGGGAAAAGGAAAAATCACTCTTGCTTTTATCAGGCACACACCTTCAATTTTCTTCTTGCTACAATCCTGTCGACTGAGAAACAACCAGTATGGCTGTACTTTTTCTTTGCTGCCTCGGTTGCTTCTGCAATTCCGTTATATGCTGAACTTCCCGCTAGATCTCACACTATCATTCTCTTGAAAGGTCAGTCTGCCCATCGTACATCTCGTTGTGAGATACGACCAGCCAGGAGGGGAGACGGATGAATGAGAGGTTTGCATGTCTTTTGTTTTGGCCCTTAACCACAGCCGGGGTTAAGGTGGATTATCACTTACAGTGACTGTTGAGGGTTCAGCCTCCTGATGAGTCGGTGAAACTACGACGAAACAGTTTGTCACAGCCCCTCGTTTGTTGTCCTCTTTTCCCTCTCTGCCTACGGTTTACCGGGCAGCTCTGTTTGACGATATATATATGTGCCTTTAAAAAGTTTGTGCAGGGTATAGGCAGGCCCTACCCTGATGGCCAGTGCTTTAATCACACATCCCCGACACACGCAGGGCAGACGGGGGGCATTCCAAGCCAGGAGAGTCCCAATGGTACCCAGTCGCTTAGCGTGCCCCCCCCCCCCCCCCTCCCCTTCAAACTGTGTACGTCGTAAGCACAGCCAGCAGGACGCTCAACGGGCGGCAACCCCCATACATCTACACAGCCTTGCGACCGTCCCCCCGTGGGGTACCCGGTCGGGGATGTGAATGTGCTGGAGTCCAATATCGCGGATTCCTAGCGCGGGATATTTTTGTGAATGACACGCACTCAAACGCGCAAACCAGGACTTGATCCCGCTGCCTGTGTCTTGCGACACAGGAACCTGTAGAACACAGGCGCCACTAATGGGCGGCGACCATTCACTACAGCTGAATGTTTAACTCCTTGTTCCTTATCAACTCCATATATGCCCTGGGTAAACAAGACTGAATCTGACAGATGAGCGGCTTCCGGTGAAGCTGGCCCTGTTAGTCTCATCGTCTGTGCAGAATCTGTAGATCCCTGGGTAGGGGAAGACTTGTGCAAAAGAAATTGCAGGTGGGTTCATGTCACAGCTATCAGTGCTACATAATAAATTATAGAAAGAGAAACACACATGACATGGACACGGATGCAGAGTGAGGCTGTCAAGGAGGGGAAACTCACGGGTCATTTGGGTCGTTTCTGGTGGCCTCATGAGGCTGTCAAGGAGGGGTAGGAGGCTGGTATGTTGTCCCTTGAGGTGCTTCACTGTGTCCCTTCCCCCTGCCCCCTCTCCGCCCATGTCTTTTCTGACATTTACTACTCTTTTCCTGTGCCGATGTTCCTTGGCAGAGATGTCAATATCATGATGGTTGGCGATCCGTCTGTGGCCAAGTCACAGGTTCTAAGAGCTGTCATGAATCTTGCTCCATTGTCAATCTCCACAACTGGCCGTGGGTCCTCAGGAGTTGGTCTGACGGCCGCCGTTACAACGGACTCCGAGACAGGTATGCCCTGTTGGCTTTCAGGCCTATCATTTGTTGTGGTGGGGTGGGTGGAGGAAGGGAGGGATGGAGGGGGGTATGCACGTTTACAGGTTGCCTGGAAATATATAGCTTTTGTCCTTGCACGTGTGATGCTTTTTCTCTTTTCTAAGTTTTCTTTCTTTTTCAAGAAAGGGGGTAGCCCCTAGCTTTTATGTTCATCTGATTCCGTCAGGATTTGAACTCGTGTTCTGCTCAGTAACAGTGACAAGTGTGTACTATTCAGTGACATTGGATGTTTTTTTTTTGCGAAATCAGAAAATTTTCAGGCTCCTGATTTGTCTTCTCCATGTTCCCAACGTCTCTGCCATGTTCTTCTTGGTGCTCTTCTCCCTTTCAATCATTTTTATGTTTTTCTGTCCTACACCCTTAGCTTAGGCACCTTCACTTACGACAATATCACCCTTAGCGCTGGAATGTTCTAGACGATCCTCCTTTCTAGTGAATGCGTATCCCCTAGAAAATGGAGGAAGGGGCAAGCCCATCCTGCTGGCTGCCAGGCGCCTGGTGCTGCACCATCATACCCCATACCTTGCATAGTGTGCATGTCGAGAAAACTGTTATATAACATGCCATTGCCTCAGTGTCCCCGTTCGTTACACAGTAGCCATTGCAATTACGTTCTTGATGTCTTTGCGGACTTGTGATGTTCAAAGAATTGATATTATCACAGTGAGTTTGGTCCTGTTTTGCAAAGTTGCTTGGGGCTTTTGAGTTGTGAGTATGTGTTGCCAGTGTCGATCCAGATTTGTTTTCATAAAGGTTGTGTTCTCTGGCTTGTGTTTGGTGTAAACTGTGTTATATATATATATTTGTGAAACTCTCCCTGCTTGCCGATTCAAAGGGGAAAGGCGCCTTGAGGCTGGGGCTATGGTTCTGGCGGATAGAGGGGTTGTCTGCATCGACGAGTTTGACAAGATGAGCGATCTTGACCGTGTATCTATCCACGAGGTGATGGAGCAGCAGACAGTCACTATTGCAAAAGCTGGAATCCATGCATCACTGAATGCGAGGTGCAGTGTTGTGGCGGCGGCGAATCCGATTTATGGAAATGTAAGTTTGCACGGTCCCAGTAACGCAGTCCTGCAATCTGTCATCAAGGTTGCCGTGTGAGTAAGTTAGCTTTTCTTATCTCACTTGTTGATCAACATGTGCTGACTAGCTTGGGCATGCTGTATTTTCCAAACACAACAGAAGGGAGAAAGATGCAGAGTGAGGAGCATACAGACAGAGGGACACAGAAAGTGGGAAACGGAGCCAACTCTGAGAGGCAGACGAAAAAGGCGGGTGCCAGGGCGTGAGGAGGGACCCTGAGGGGCAAGATTAGCTGATTGCTGCCTTCTGTCACGTGTGATTGGCTGAGCGTGAAGTTCATCTGGGATATGATCCTTGCTTGATTTAGTGGTGTAAGTAGCCAACACGCATCCATGGAGCCAACTCAGATGGGAGAGGGGAGAAGGGAAGAAGAGGGAAGTGGGAGGAGGGGAGGAAAGAGGAGAAGAGGGGAAAGAGAAGAGGGGGGAAGAAGAGGTGGAGGAGGACGGGGGGGGGGGGGGGGGCAGAAGGAAGGGAATAGGGGGAGGAAGACAGGGGAGGAAGAAGGCAGGGAAGGAAGGGTGGGGGAAGAGGGGGGGGAAAAAGAGGCATACAAGAAAAGGGGGTGTCAAGGGCCATGGATAACAAGGAAAATAGATTGTAGATCAACCATAGGTACATGGGGTGAGAGCGCAAATGGGGTGTAATGGAGGTATACAGGAGCGGGCATAGGTTCTAACGGAGGTATACAGGAGAAGCATGGGGGACGAAATTGGTCGGAATGGGAACGGCTGGGACCTAGAGTGGGGTACAGTTACAGGGGATGGCAGAGACAATGAACGAGGCAGGAATAGGGCAGAAGCAGGATGACAAGTGGCCTGAGGAACTGCTAGGGGTGCACCCGCCGCGCCTCGCCTTTCCTTTCTGGAGTTTGCCCTGCTGCATGACTGGGTGCTGCCAGTAAGCCTCCCGGCCAGCAGGGCAACCCCCGGAGAAAGGCCACGGTTTGGGGCGACGGACGCCCTGTAGCAGTCCCACCCTTGCCGACCAGTGCCACAAGAGCTGGGCTGCCCCTCTTTCTTGTCTTTCTCCCCCTCCTTTCTCCAGGTGTAAAAACATGCTTGCCGGTGATAAGCAACCAGACTTGACCCCCCCCTAGAATAGAAGGGGCGGTTGGTTTTTGGGAGAAAAAAAAAAAAACGGGGGGTGTCAGGGTGTGAGGAGTGATTCTGAGAGTTAGAGTGTTAGACTTCGAACATTGAGATTTGTGGGTCATCACATCGGAGGAAAATCTCAGCAATTCCCACTCTATGTCTCAGGCTTTGAATGCTGAGACTTGTGGGCCATTACATCAGATCAGAGGAAAGCAAGCAAGGTGAGCCAAGACCGGTCTTTCCTTATCGTTATCTCATTCAGCTCGTCTGGATTTGATGTTGCTCGGTTGAAAAAGGCTTAGTCCGAATTTTTCTGGGTGCTGCATTTTCTCTGTCATCTTTGAGGTAGTAGGGCACGCTCTCTGCTTTTGTAACTCACACGTGCCCATACTGTCTGATGTTTTTGTTTTCTGGCAGTATGACCACACTCTATCTCCAACAAAGAACATTGGACTTCCAGACTCTCTACTCTCTCGTTTCGACTTGCTGTTCATCGTGCTTGACCAAATGAACCCCGACATCGACAGGGCCATCTCCAACCACGTCCTGAGGATGCACCAATATCGTGCACCAGGCGAAGATCCTGGTATGTATGCGCATGGAGAACTGCCCTCCACCTCCCCTTTCCCATGCACATGGAGAACCCCCCACCTCAAACACCCTTTCGAGACGGGCAGGCGTCTTATGACCCCACCAACCTGCTCTGTTGGATCTGAATGAAACACTCGTAAATGATTTCCGTTTACGCCTTGTCGAAACTTTCTGTCTTATGTTACAGCTCTGGCTCAACTTTGCCCTGTCCCAATGCATCATGGTCAAGGCAACCTGGGACACATGTAAAGGACATGGATATATCACACGCCTACTGGAACTGGTAACTCTGACTTTATCTAAGCAAGTGGAGGCTCGCCGCGGTCCCGCCTGCCGCTGATGAGCATAAATGTGTGAGACATTTATGGAGGGATAAAAAATGGAGAGGATGTTGACTGGGAGACGAGCAATAACACGTGGTGGGTTGCGGGATTAGGAAAATGGAATGTATGACCAAAATAAGCGTGACAAACACAGACCACTGGACTCAAGCATGCAGCAAGTGGCAGATACATCAAACGTGAATCTAAAGTTAAAGCCAGATCCTTGTTCCGTGTGCGCTGGTTATTGTTTACCTGCGTTTTCGTCCCGTTTCTATGTCTCTAGCTGCTGCTGCTGTGTG